GCAACTGTTGTTGGAGACAAAAGTGAAGCTGGTGTGGGTCTCATCGCGCCCGGAGGTAAGAAAAATATATCAACTTTCCTGAAATTGCCTCATACTTATATTTATTAAAATTTCTCCTAGGAATAAAGTTTGGGTGACGGGTAAAAATATATTTCAATGATATACTTCTTAACTTTAAAATAAAACTTGGTATAGTTTTTATCCCAAAACTAATTTCTTTATTGAAATATGAACCAATACAAGCGCTTCCACTTCATAAAATTCTAATGATCGAAGATATACTTGTGTATATTTCAATTTTCAATAGAAACGTTTCAATTCGTAATGTATTTTTAATATATTTTGTCAGATATTTGAAAAAAAATATAGGAACATAAATCTTACGAGAGGCTGATGAACTTACTCAAATGCGATGATTTTAATTTTCCTTTCAGGCTGAGCTTGTTCTCACTAATGCGTTACGTTGCGCCACATCGTCGCTTCACCCGTTCTCCGAAGAGGAGCAGAAGAACCACCTGTGTAGACACTGGTCGTCTGTCGACCCACGCAACCGCCCCCCTGCGGCGGTCGAGGCCCTCGCCGCCGAGATGGTGGCAGCCCTGCACGGCGCAGCGGGGCGCGGCCAACGCAGCCTGCTGGACGTCCCGCTGCACGCGCAGATGGCGGCGGAGGCGTATGCAACGCAGGCGGCACAGGCCCTGGGCACAGGGGTCAGCCTGCTCCCGCAGTCCGGCTTCAGTCTCTACCAGCTCTACCGTCGCTTCGTGGAGAGGAAGAGAGACTTGTACGAGAGAGGCTTTGGACTGAAAGATGCAAATTTTGACAATCTACCATTTGCAGACAACTTCGAAGAGATCCACCAAAACTGTGCTATGCTCATACTGGTGAGTTATCAAAATTATGCAAGCGTTATAATTCTTTTGAAAGCTCCAATAGATCTCTAATCCTAGAGTCTATACGTAATATCTGATACTGCCTTTTAGGATAATCATGAAAAAACCGACACCCCGTATTTGTTTGAAAGCAATGTAACTTTTATTGCTGTAGTTCATGTTGTAGAAAAGGCGTCTCGCATATATGCACGTGAACGGAAACATTATTAAAACTTGAGAAATACATGTCAGGAGGAAACGAAAGGCAGACCTACATGTTTTCATCCTTTTTTTTTAAAAAAAAATATCCATTTTTCTTTCAGAAAAATGTACGAATACATTGTCAATAGTAACAGCTTATACCAATGATATCTTTAACGAAATGGCCAAGAGTCCAGTTTGTCCATCGAGTCGAAAAAAAGTATTTTTCATTAAAATGTGTCAAGGTAGGATTGTTTTTAAATTGGAATAGAGCATAAATTTGTATTAATTCAGTTGAAGTAAAGAAGACATTGTTATGACTTTTCAAATCCTCAAATAATGAGTATTGTAATTATCTAATTCAAATTAAGCTGCTTAAAATGTAATGGATGTTGCAGGTTTCCGATGGCACATTGGACAAAGTTGATTCGTCACCATTCAAAGACTGCATAGTCAAACAAAGACATAATCTGATCAAAGAAAAAACCGGAATCTTGTGGTTGGGAGATGATGAAATGCCTCATTTCCTGCATTACACCTTTATCGAATACTTTGCGGCGCGTTGGCTGTTGGAAAACCAAGAGGAAGCACCAGAGGCGGTGAAGGAGATATGGCGTAGCCTCCTGAACCGCGATGTGGGCGTGGGGGTGAGGCACATCCTGGAGCACATGCTGTCGGACGGGCTTCCGCTGCACCGGGCCGCGCTGGAGGGCAGCGAGGGCGCGCTGGAGGCGGCGCTGGAGGCTGGAGGCGACCCCGACGAGAGCGACCGCTTCGGCCGCACGGCGCTGGTGCAGGCGGCGTCGCTGGGCCGCGCCGACGCCGTGGGCGCGCTGCTCGCCAAGGGCTGCGACCCCGGGCGCAGGGACGCGCTGCTGGGCTGGACGGCGCTGCGCTACGCCAGTGCCTGCGGCCACCTCGAGGCGGCGGAGCGACTGCTGCAAGGGGGCGCCGATCCCGAAGACTTTGTCGCTCAGGACATCAACATCTCTGACACTGTGCTCAAAGCTGCAGAGCTAGGTTGCTCGGAAGTAAGTAAAAATCACATTTCCTGGAGGATTTCCAAAAAAATCCACTAGTGTGAGCATCTTGATTTCTAGGACAACTTTGCTTTGTAGAATGTGTACCTGACCACAAGTCACGTTAGAACTGACTCGGAGAATTAACCCTTTCTAATGTTTGATAATATTACCAAATTATCTCAAGAGTTTCTCGTACCAGTAAATTTTCTATTTAGTAGAGTCTGGGTTAGCTTTTGACATTGCCCTCACCTTGTTTTCAGCTGCTATCTACCGGCGTCTAAGTAACTAACGAAGTGTTATTTGTACTGCCTGCCCCTGTCTCATGGGGCCGAAGCACGTGACTACTATTTATCAACCAGTTACAATTATGAAACTAAAATCACAACTGCAATTCACCTTTTTGTGAATGAGTGTTCTTTATAGCATGGAATATACGTACTAAACGATTTTGTCATCATTTGTTTCCGCAGCATTAATGCTAAACAATTTTACAATACTTAAATCAATCAACATCGCAATCAGAAATGAGCAATTTTATCCAACTTCAGTAACTATATAGAAAATAATGTAGAATAATATTTAGAGGTGATCCTTATACCTTTGGCCACATTTTTATTTGCGTGATTTTCTTTATTTGTGGGAAAGTTGCTTTCTTTGTGCTCTAAAGGAAACGCAAATAATGTTTTTATTTTGGTATTTGTTGTATAATTTTCCGTTTTATAATTCAATTTAAATTTCGATATAAAAATATGTAATGTGTAACTCGTGTACCTTGGACCACGTATCGTATCGAATTTCTATATGCAAACCAAAAGTATTACTAAAATGTTCATTTAAAAATCTCTAATCCTCAAGTCAGGCGACATCGATAAGGAAATGTTCGATTTGGAACAAAATCTACTAATCGTTTGGGCGCTATTGTCGATAAATGATCGCGACCAAATAATATAATGTTGCACTTTCCATCTTAATATCAAATTGCGTCGTCGCGGCTGAAATCGACACTGGCACGAACTCTACAGTCAGTTTAACGCCTTTTTATCATCTAGCTAGCATCTTCTGATCCCTAGCTGCGCTGGTACAACTCATGTGTACAGTAACGACAGAACGCAAGTGAGGCCCCCCCTCCCCAATGCACCCTTCTACCAGGTCGCATAGGTGACTGACTGTGTGTGTGTGAGTGTGTGTACCCGGAGAGATTGCTCAGGGCATCGACTGATGTCACCGCGGTCCTTTTGACCGGGGTGGTCCGGCTAGGTTAGAGTCCGGATTTTAGCTCGGACACTAGCTTGTCACCTAGGTCGCATTCAGTCGCTGTCTGGAGGAGAATTCCAGCGGCCAGCTGCTCTGATCGATAGTTTTCCGTGGTTTCTCCGATCAACGCCCGGCGAATGCCGGGGCAGTCCCCTACCAAACTGGCCATGGCCGCGCGCGATCTTTCCTTCCTCTTCCGTGTCCTATCCTCCCCACTCACACACATTTACACAAACATGCACTACACTACCAGTCTCCCTCACCAACACTTACACCAACTATCCTCTCTAAACACACACACACACTTTCACCCACACGCACTACACTACCACACATGCCGTTAGACCGGTCAGAGATTGTTCCGACTGGTCGGTGCCCCGCCGGGAGATACCTAGTTGGGGAAAATCCCACTCATTTTTTTAAAATTTAAAATATCACCAAATTGACGTTTAATGCTACTTCATTAACATTGTTTAGAATTATCTGTAAAATAAATTTTAGGAAACAATTTAAATCCGGTTTTAATACGCAACATTACGATAAAATACGGCTTTTCCCTAGTTTTCATAACTTCCTTTATACTATGTATTTTAGGCCATATATAAGTATGTGTATGAAAAATTGAAAAGGCAAATTGCCAAATTTTGGCGCTACCTATTATATTTCACCGCTACTTCCGTACACTAGTCCGTGAACGGCGAATTGAGTCATACTATACGTTGAATATATAGTCACTACCGACTGGTAATCAATCCGGTACTATATCTTGTAAAATTATTTGGAATCTACGTGACATTGAGGCATTATTATATAATAACCCAATTACGTGTATCGAGCAGGGCACTATAAAGGAATAATTCAAATTATCAATTTTCTCTTAACTTCTATTATTAGTATAAATTTATGAGCGCCTTTACAGCTCATATTTTACAGCCAACGTAATTATTATTTTAATAAAATGTCAATTTGACATATATTTAATTCATAATAAAATAAAGCATTTATCAATTTTTTTTGCAGATAATGGATATTATATTGAAGAAAGAAAAAGGAAGGTGTGTAGACATTCGGTTCGGAATGAAAGAGACGCCAATAATGATAGCAACAGAATGTGGACACAAAAATACGGTACATATTTTATTAAAGTACGGTGCAGACGTGGCGAAAAAAGACTTTTGGAAGAGACAAGCCCTTCACTATGCAGCCAGCGGGGGAAATATTGCGATAACGAAACTCCTCCTCGACAGCAAAGCTGATCCTAATGCAAGAGACAATGAGGGCGTCACTCCGCTGATGAGGGCAGCGAAGTCAGGTGACGCCCAATCTACGGAGCTCCTCTTAGAACGTGGAGCCGACGTCAACCTAAAGGACGTACGCAACAACACAGCACTCCGTTACGTGACTGGAAGCGGTCGCCTCGAGATTACGAAGCTCCTCCTCCAGAACGAAGCTGATCCCAACGCAGGAGACGTTTGGGGGTTCACTCCGCTGATGAGGAGCGCAGAAGATGGTGATGCGCGGTGCATCGAGCTCCTTTTAAAACACGGGGCAGACGTTAATCAAAGCAACGTAGACAACTGGACAGCGCTTCACTACGCTGCTAAAAATGGCCATCATGAGATTACAAAGGCCCTCCTTGAGAGCGAAGCGGATCCAAATGCCGCAAACGACGGGGGCGTAACTCCGCTAATGATGTCGACAGAAGCCGGCGATGCGAAGTCCACAAGGCTTCTCTTGGAACACGGCGCCAACGTACGTCGAAGGAATCAGCACAAATGGACAGCGCTTCATTACGCCACTACAAGCGGTGGAATTCAGATTACGAAGCTCCTCCTGGAAAGTCAAGCCGATCCTAACGCGGGAGATAAAGAGGGCGTCACTCCTCTAATGTGGGCGGCAGAGTCCGGTGACGCGCCATCCACTGAGCTACTCTTGGAACACGGCGCCGATGTCCGTCGAATGGACGAGGAGCATTGGACGGCGCTGCATTACGCTACCTCAAGG